AAAAACTAATCAACCTTCTAGCCCGAGCAACAAGTATTTCACAAGGAATAAGCCCTTTTCCAACCACAAGCTGTAAAATGTGAGCAGTACATGGTATCCGAGTTAATTCAAGTAAAAACTGTACTGCCTTAACCATGTTACTTCTATTATCAGTAGTAATACAAAAAATTTGCCCATCTAAATTCCACTCATTAATAATATCATCTATTATATTTACAATAGATATACCTGTATGTGGATATGATAAATATCTAATAGCTAAAAGCAATTCATATAATTTAAGATTTTCATTCAAGTATGAGCATGTAACTCCAATGTATCCATTTTTTGATCATGCTGTCCACATATCAGTTGTTAGTGAACCATAAAAAAGTGTCTCTGAAAGTTTATCCATAAGATGTTGCTTCGTATGTGTAAATGCTTGTGACAATAAAATTTTTATAGCTTTTTTAGATGGAAGTTTATAATTAGGAACCGCTTCTTTCATTAATTCAATAAATCCATTATCCATAATTACTGAAAGAGGTTGTTGATCTTTACATATAAAGGACACAATCTTGTTATTCAAAATTTGCTTACGAATTAAACTTATTTGATTATGTTCAACATTGGATGCATTATCAATGTTGTCTTTATATATACCATGTGCTGACTTAAGATGATACCAAAAATTACCCGTCGACTTTGCAGTATTGAAATTTACTTTCTTTCTACATGGAACATATCCATTTTTACCAAATACAGTTACTTTACATCTTCGACTTGTTGGATCTTGTCTTTAGTGAAATAAAGCCACACTTTACTTATCGAATTATCCTCTTCAGATAAAGATAAATTGTCAAATTTTCTTTTTTTTGAACTTTGAGTATCGTTACTTGAGTCACTTTCGTGAATTTCATCCATGGTTAACAAAAATAAGACAAAAAAAAGTTTTTTATGTTTTATTTTAAATACATGTAAATTTTAGAAATATATATTAAACTTATATTTAATTTAATCTATTAGACTTTCATTACTGTCGTCATACTGTCATAATTAATTATCGGATAACCGGATAATCTGGTCTAATTATCTGAAGTTAAAATTTATCCGAATAATTATATCATATTCGGATTATCCGAACTGGTCAGATAAAAAGTTCCATCTCTACAGCTTATTCGAATCACGTTGTCGGGCCTCTAATTTTATATACCGGATAACCATAATATGGATGATCCTGTCATAGGTCAGCAAAAATTATAAACGACTGAAAATAAAGCACATGTTAGAAGTATATTTGATATATTACAGAATTAACGACGGAACTGTTTCCAAAAACAATAATAAATAATAATTAAAATTTTGCCTGTTTTTGATGTAGGGGTGTGGGAAAATCGTGGTTTTTTGAATCTACTGCGCAGGCTGCACAACCTCGAGACTTTTACTCATTAGGTTTCGCGTATATATATATAAAACATCTACTTCATATGATTAAAGTTGTGCTCCCATCATTGTTAATTAATGCTCCAAGGTTAGTTTAAACGTCAGTTTTTATTGTTTTGCTTTTTTTTTCACTTTTTCTCTGCATATCGGTGAATTGATAATTATGGTCAAATTTGCAGATCATTTGGCCAGATCTAGAACAAAACAACTTTAAATGTGGTCAAATGATCTGCAAGTTTGA